CTTCCATAATATACTGTCCATTCACTCTAAAGGAAAAAAAAAAGGGTGAAGGGAAGAAGAGAAACCAGAAAAAGATGAAAGAAATCATTTACATTTCAAACCCCATCTAGTCAACCTGCTTTTGCTGTACAAACACATAGCATGTTTAATTTTGATGGCTGATTTTCTAACTAAAAGTAAGTAGGAAACCAACTTTATAAAATTACATCAAGACTTCAATATGTAACATCTCCAGGACTGACAGTCTGCAAGGTGACCAGTCAAACACACCAGTGGATTTACACATAGTAGTGTACACTAATGGCTACTGCACAGGCTCATCAGTTTTCAGAAATATCTATTCCAAGGAAGTCCCCAGTTACACAGATGGCTCAAGGCATGGAACCATGATCCTCCCATTTCCATCCCAATGTTTAGGCAGAGTGCCTGAGTCCTTATCCCCGGACAAATCCCACTCAGAGCAATATGTCAGTGTATGAAGCACATGCTGGTTCCAGCACACAGCAAATCCTGCCTGCAGGATGTTTCGCTCCCTGCTCGCTGAGGCTGCACATATCTGTTGCAGGGACCCAGCCCAAAGGTGTCCCAGCTCTCTGTCAGTCCAGACAGCCAGAATTCCTTCTGACAAAGCTCAGGTGGAGAAAGGAGACAACAGGGTGCAGAAAGGATATTGCACCTGGATCACAAATCTCCTGCTTCCCACAGTCACCAAACCAGTTTCCTATCCTTGTAATTAACAATACTAGTAATCTCATAAAACTGGCATTGATGAAACAACTACGCATGCTAATACATAAGCAAAGATTATCATTAATGCCTCATATCCTGAAAACAAAAAAGTTGGTCTTCTTTCATGTTGTTTACACTGACTTGGGCTAAAGTGTAAGTAACTCCCTGCAGCAGCCAGATTCATCTGCGCTGGAACAATCCAAGCCAGTCTGAAATATGTACTGTATCTAGTACAAGTCAAAATCTGCACATAAATCATGACACAGACATCACAGATTCAAACAATGTTTTTGGTATTTGTTACCACATACATAAAATACCCATGGCTACAAACGTGCATTTAACTGTCTTCAGACCAATCTGTTACCAAGAGTCTCTAGATTGTTTTCAGTAAAAGGCTCCAAGAAGACACTGTTGTTGCATACTTGTAATTATTTTCCCCACCCTCAGACACAAGAGTCCCAACTACACTGGAGTTTAAAAGGTCAGAACCAGAAATTTCACAAACATCATGTGTGCTGCTATGAAAAACCATCAAATGTATCTGCATCCACTATAAAACTCAACTCGAACAGCGGGAAACAGAAGTATTGCCAGCTCAAAACATTTTTTTTACCAGAGTTTTCATTTTTTAAAGTTTTAGGACTAGGCTTTTCAATTTCAACTGTTTTCAATGCTCATCTTTTTTTTTTCTAAGTATTTGCAAACCAAGAATTGATATAGAACAGTTTCCTTGCACAGAGAACTCAAAAGAAAAAGCAAAAAAAAAGCAGATGCACAGTTCCATAAGGCGGCGTTAATTCCCCCTGTACTTGGGCATCTGCAGGACAGGGCTCTGCTCCTACCTGTATGCCAGAAAGGCCACCGGCCTCTGATGTCCGTGCTCGTCTGTCATCGACCCCACACTGGGAGGCTCCACAATCACGTCATAGATAATTCCTGTGGGAAGGAAAGCAAGCACCGTCTTTGACACGCAGCAGTGAGAACGGCCCTGACCTCGCAGGGACGCCCGGGGCTGGCCGAGGGTCGGACCTGGACAAGGATCAGCGGCGGCTCCGCCGCCCGGGACAGGGGCCGAGGAAGAGCTGCTCCGTGAGCGAGGCCTCCCGCCCGCCCCGCCGGTCGCGGCCTCACCTCCGGTGATGAGGAAGTAGGACACGACCACCAGCGCGTACACGGTCATGGCCGAAGGCATGTGCACCCAGCTCGGCCGCTTCAGCTTGATGTTGGGGCACTCGAGCACGGCGAAGGGTAGGCGGTACAGCGTCTCCATGGCGGCGGTGCAGTCCCAGGGGCAGCCGCAGCGCCGCTGCTCCTTACCTCCTTACCTTCTTCTTCCTTCCTTCCTTCCCTCCCTCCCTGCCCGACCCGCCCCGCCGCCGCCGAACCCTCCGCGGCCGGACACGAAAGCGGAAGCGGAAATGGGCTGCCGCGTCCTGACAGGGGAAAATTGACAAATTTAAAAACTACAAACTAAACAAATCACTCGAAATCCATGCCCAGACGGAAATTATAGGAATGAAAAAAAAGATAAGTTTTTTTTTCTGCGTAAAAACATCGGAAAAGCTGCCCGCCCGCCGCCGGATGATCTATCTGTCTTACTCACCTGCAGGGACCCGGCAGACCTGACGTGTCGGTGCCGAGTAACGGCTCGGGGCGGTGGGCGTGGTCGGGGCGTGGTCAGTGCGCGGGCCCCGCCCCCGAGCCGGGCAGCCACGTGTGCACCCGGCGGGTCCCGGTGCCGCGGGGCCGGGATGGGCACACGCGTGTGCCTGGCGGGAACACCGGCGCTCGACACTGGGGAACAGAACAAGATCCACAGTAGCCTCACCCCAGTCCCTGTGCAGGGAGAGTGGGGCTGGGATGCCCCTCGCCCGCACCTTGGGATGCGGTGGATGTGGTGCCCATCCTGACCTGCAGCCAGAGAAGACCCCGACAGCTGCACAGCGAGACCAGGGAGGAAAGGCACAATCCAGCAGTAGCTGCTGAGAGCACCCGGGTTACCTGTGCATTACAGATCAGCTCACACACTTCTGCAGCATGCAAGCACCTCATCAGCCCAGGCCAGCCACACCAGGCAGGACATAGGGAAGAAACTCCCTATTTTCAGCGGAAGCTTGTCTAGTTCCTCTTGCTTCATGGAAGGCGCAGGGCAGAGCCCTTCACTCCAGGTTACAGGAGCACATTTAAAAGCACGTGCTCCAGCTAAACTCGCCCCACCTCACCAAGCCATCCAGCCTACTTCCCACTGCCCAGCCCTGCTCCAAATGATTGCCCCCATACCCACATGGCACTGTCTGCTCAAACTGCTAAAAAAGAAATTAAGAGCCTTCTTACCATTTTGCTGACATTTTGCCTAACGACTGCTTTTATTTCTGCCAACAGCGGCAATACCACTTCTTCTAACTCAGAACTGCTGTCTCTCAGTGCAATCATGTAATATATAATTAGCTATTTTTAGTGTTGGCCTTTCTGTTTGAGAAAATCTCCCTCTGTGCCTGTCAACAGACATTTATGACTCTTACCCTCATTATTCCAAAAGTGTTCTTCCTCCATCTTGCATCCTTTACAAGAGCCTGAAGGAAAACTCTAATCTCACAGCTTTTAAAGCAAAACAAGAGCACTTTTGGGGCAGGTTAGACATGCCTGCCCTACTTGCTGCTTCTGCTTTAAAAAAAATTTTCCAGCATGCTGAAGTACTGAAGTTTGTACCAACACAGGAAGACAACTAATAAAATTTTAACTTCATAAACTAACTATAGTAACGGCACCTAAAAATGTCAGGGTATTAATGTTAGTCTTAAATAAATCTCCTTTAATTAGCTACAGCCTTTGCAACAAGTTTTAGCATAACCCAAGCTGAGGAAAAACGCTTCATAACTTAAAGCTGCAACATTTATTTTGAGAACACTGACAGAGTCATTTTAAGAACTTGGAACACTATGAAAAAATTATTGGGGAGGTACAGCTCCTTTCACCATGCACGATGTTAAGTCAGATTCCCTGGATCATAGCCACCTCCTGTTGTCACACCCAGGAGGCAGCTCTGAGTTGGCAGGCACCTCACCCAAACCACCAGCTTGCTGCCACCAAAGGGCAGGGCTTTTCACCAACTCAGTCTGCTGTCCTTTGTTTCTTGGCTGACTGTACAGCCTAACAGGCTGCAGAGCTGGGCACAGTGTGATGAGGTAGCATGCAGTCAGGAGGGACCTGCACACATCCCTCAGAGCCACAGCCTGAGCACTCCACATTTGACTTTAGAAACCTCTTGCAATGGCACCCCTCACTGCTCCCAGTTAAATCTCTGCACTCAGTAATTGTTTCTCCTCCTTTCTTATGCTCATGGTGGAACTTACCACTTTTTGGAAAAAGTTATTGGTAAAAATAGATAAAAATACATTCTTGTCAGATACTAAAAGCAGTTAAAAATTCAGAGCTGGGGGCAAGGAACACCACGGCACCCACAGGTAACACAAGAATTATCTTGTGTTAAAGCACTCCTGGATAGCATTAGAGGCACATTTAGAGCTCTCTACAAAACAGAACGAAGCAAAGCCATTTTCACTTTTTACATTACCATTACAACCTTGTTGATAAACCAGCAGAATTTTGGTTCAAGTTTCAATACCAGAGGCCTAAATTGCTCCTCTAAAACCTAATGTGGAAGCCATTAAAGGTTTGCCTTAGCTGTACCCTCCAAGTGCGGACCCAGGAAGCACCCAAAGAACAGGATACAGCAGCCGTAGCTTTCTTCCAGGAGATTCAGATGTAGCAGTGTGCAACTGTTGCTAGTGGGTACAGCAATGGTATTGAGAAGTCAGACTATTCCTCCCCTTCAGATTCAAGTAATGGTAAATGTATCACATACAATTAAAAAAAAATTATCTACCTTAGGCCTACACTAGCTCTCCTCTTCTTCACCTGACAATCTTTCTTCCAGCCTTTTGATGGTTTGCTTCTCCTTTTCAGAGTCCAAACTTTCTTCTGAGCCAAGTTCTCTGATGACTTCATACACAGCTGTTGCCATAAAGAAATAAAACCTGCACTGCTCGAAGTTACTCCAGTCCCTCCGCAGGACTGAGGGGCAGAGCTGGGAGTCCTGTTTAACCAGACCTCCTTCCACCTGCTTGATTTCCCTGTAGCACACAGCACAGAGCAGAGCATCCTGACTTACAGGTTTTGTTGCACCAAAACCCAGTTCTGAATTCTACAAGCTGTGAGAAGCAGCTCCTACCAGCCTTGAACAGAACATGGAATGACAGGACACAAGAGAAGTGGAGCTTTCATTTATTGGGATGAAACTACAAATAGATTCACTTTGACTTCTGGCTCTGTGCTTGTGCCTTCAGTACTTTCACAACAATCTTCTGCTCCTCAATAAGAAAAGCTCGTTTGATCCTGGAAAAGAAAAACAACTTAAGGACATGTATCTACCTACTTCAGTAAAAATCACAAAAATAACATAATTTACAATTAATTCTGCAGTCTCCAACATCATTGCATATGTCGTGCTAGTTCCACAATTACACAAAAAGGGAAGCTGTCCGTGTTCTTGCTAGCAGCAAGAGACAGGGACAGTGGCACTGGATGAATGTAGTGGTTTGGGGAAGAAGGTCTACTGTGCCTACAAATTTAAGGTGAGTGGCTTGTAGGCAAGCAAGGTAATACCCAATGGCTGAACACTGGGAAAGTTACTGTCTTCACCAATCTGAAAGCAAAAAGCAGAACTCCTAACTGGCAAGTTAATTTAGCTGCTAAGTCGTCACTGGTGTGATCAGTCATGGTCAGTCCTCTTCCACAGAACTATGGGAAACTCTAGGTGCATCCAGTTATCAAAACCAGGAACAGTTCCTCTGTCAGGATTAAAGCTCTTTTGCACATCAACAGGGAAAATCCTAACAGGTCAAGTCATGCCCAAATTCAGCTATTTCTGGACGATATGCAGGGCCAGCATGCAGATGGACAGACCCATGCAACAGTACTCATATATCAATGGCCTATCTGATGGCCTCTGAACACTGAAGTACCTTCCATATGCATTTGGTATATATAGCTACTTTTGCAGTACCCAAAACCTACCAGAGATGCCTAAGCAGGCACAGGAGAAAACCCAACCATTACAGGGAAGGAGCTGTGTTTTTTGGTTTAGGCAGAATAGGAATAAGACATACTCATGCATTAAAAAATACTATCAAGCTCATTAAGTGTTTGGAAAAACACTCAGGGAAAAAAATTGGTTTTCAACACAGTAAAGTTATGCTATGGATCTGCAGCTGTAACAACTCATCTTCAGTAGCACCTAATGCAATTTAAGTACTCCCATGTGCCAAAAAAACCAACCAATCAACCAACGAAATAAAAAAACCCCACCACCCAAAAACCCCAACAAAAACAAAAACAAGAAAACCCACTGTCATTAGACTGCTGACACTGGAGATCTGCTTTGGTTGCTATTCACAGAGATGACAAAATTTGACGTAATTTTTTGTCATACATTTTTCCTCAAACTTTTGTCAAGGAAGTAAAGGATGTACAGCTGTTATACAATAAAACTGAATTTAGTGAGGCCCAGTAAAGGCCATCTTAAAGCTTAATCACATAAAGATGCTTAACATGCAACCAAATAATATCTCTGAACCCCAAAACACTACAAAGAGGTGAGAAATTCAACTAAACTTGCACTAGTAACTTTGTGTAAGACAAAAGAATAGGACAACAGACGAGAAAGGTCTATGGGGGCTCAACACAAAACAAAAATCCTGCATGAGCAGACTTTAGCACCCAAGCAGCAGCACAGTATAAAATCACAAAGAACATGAGGCATCTACAAAGCAGCTTCATATACAGTAAGTAGCTCAGTCCAAAGGACAGGGACAGACACTGCTGCTCACATGCTCCAAGCTGACCCTCTCCATTTCACTACATCAGTGTCAGACAAGAGTCTTCAAAATTTTAGTCCACATTAAGAAAACACAGAGAGATATAAAATTCTCACACGAGGTAACCTCAAGAGTGAGGTTCCCTTTCTGTAAGCTTACCTGTCACGGACACACTTAGCACACATAGAACCACCATAGGCCCTGCTAACGTGCTTCTTCGTTTTGGACAGCCTCATGAGAACTTTGGGGCGTACAGCACGGACCTATGGAGAGTAAAAACAGGAAGGGTATCATAAGACAGGGATTCTGGGTAACAGCCATATAAAAAACAACATCACTTTCATAGTTTTAAAGAAAAAGCAGCAACACCTGAAGTTGACTTGATATTCAAGACGCTAAGAAGTGACTGAAGTCACAGCTCATTGTATGTGCCACCTTCAGCACTCCCAAGCTGATCTTTTTATTCTATCATAGGGTTTCACCAACAGGTTTGTAAAAAAACTGTTTATAGTAAGAGACTGTTTTCCCAAGGGTTCCCAAGGAACTGCTCAAAGATTGACATTACTTAAGCATTCCATAACTGTTAAAAGCATTGATGTTACATCAAGAAATCATTTGGAAGAAAAATATCAGGCTACAAACATTCATTCCTTAAAGTTTTCTAAAGCTTGGCTTACCCTTTTTTTTTTTGCAAGTCTAACAGATCCAATTTAGATTTTTTAAATCCGGTACAGAATCACCTTGTCTAGCTTCAAAATTTCAGTTACACGTTATAAAACAATGGGGTTTAAATGTAACAGTAACAAGAATCTCAAGCATTAAAAAGCAATTACTGTTTGAGCTTCCAAATCTCATTTTACCAGCTAAACCTTACCCTATTTGAACAAAAATATTTTAAAGAAGTTACTACAACAAGAACTCACCAATAAACAGGCATATCACACGACTTGAAAAGGCTCTTTGTACTGAAAAAACATTGCTATGGAGAAACACCCTTACGCCAGCCAGGCTCATACTTACACCACGAAGCCTTCCTGGGCATATCCCACATGCTGACTTGGGTGCCTTTCCCACTTTCTTGGTGTAAAGGTAAACAATCCTGTTCCCGGGTGTTCGGGACCTGAGCACAGCAGAAAAAACACTCAGTTAATGTAACAACCAAAACTTAACCATCGTCTTCTTACAATGTCAGTTTTCTTAGAAACTGTCTTACTTACAGTCTGGTCTTGTTGGAAGCTGTGTTGTAGGACAACCTACGGCGGTAGGTCAGGCGCTGAACCATTTTTTACACCTAAGGAAGCCAAAACCAAAGCAGCACTAGTTTAAATGTTGGATATCCACACAGAAGTTCATGTATCACAGCACCACCTGTGCTCCAGGTGTAAATTAGGATCTGTCCATTCTGCATTAATAAAATTCGAGCATCTCCTCATCAATGATAGTCAACACAATTAAAAAAACAACAAAAGAAATTACAGCAGGTACAGCACGGTTTGCAATGAGGATCCATTTGAACTAACTTGCACAGTGCTCAATATCCTGGTCTTGCCCGCGTGATGTCACGCTTCCCGAAGAAACTGCTTAAAGCTTTAGCAGCTACATATTTTATAATCAACATAAACCTCGGACTTTATAATCCTGTTGTTCAAACCTGAACTTGCCAATAAAAAGGCATATTATGTTACCTGAAAAGGCTCTGTGTGCTGAAAAAACACTGCTGTAGATGAAAACCCTTACACCAGTCAGGCTCATACTTACACTGCACAGATAATTTTATAATAAGCTACGTATTTTATAACCAACTGGCAAGGCCTTAGATTGAGTTGCAGCAATCCGCGCGGTTTCCTATCTCATCTGAGAGCACGCTGTGTTAGTAACAGCCCAGGCACAGACCGCAGCCACTCACTGGGGCCCGGGAGATGCGGGCCCTGCTCGGGAGGCCCGGCCTCTCCATCGGGCAGCTCTTGCCGCACCGCCAGCCCAAGCGCGGGCGGCAGCGGCGCCGCTGGTCCCTCTGCACAGCCCCCCGGGGCCTCTGGTCGCCCTGTCCACCCCCCCTGCCGCGGATGGGGGCGGATGGGTGCACACACAGCCCCCGGCCCCCGCCGCCATACCTGGAGTCGCCGGACCCGGAAGAGGAAGCGAAAACGCGCGGGGCAACACTGAAAGAGCTGCGCGCTGGAACCCGGAAGGAATAGCGGCACACACCCACTGCCATTCGTCTCCCGGCCGTGCTGGCGTATGGGCGCCGCCATGTTGTACGGAGAGGAGGTGCAAGGGTGTTGTACGCCGCCATGTTGTACGGATAAAGTTGGGGCGGGGCTCCGCTCGGCGGCAGCAGCGGGAATGATGGGGGTCACGGTGAAGCACGAAAGAATCCTTTTTGCTGCAGACGCTCCACTTTTCCCAGGGTTTCTCTGCACAGGCTTCCCCGCCCGCCCCCTTTCCCCCCCTGTTTTATTTATTGTGCGTTTTACGAAAAAAGTTTTGTGCTTCGTTATGGTAGTTATGTAGCTGCGGGCCCAGAAGCCGTTTCTCAGGGTGCTGTTCTAAGCTCTGAATTACAAGTCATTCATACATGCCTTTTCCATGCCAAACCAGCAGGTAACACACCTGGAAGCTGTGTGTTTCACGCAAAACTTCCACCATTTGGAAAAGCTGGTCTCCCTGAAGGCTGTGCCCCTTCTCCTGCCAGAATCCCCTGGATGCCACACCTGGAGCACCATAGGGATGTCCTTGCCATGCTCCATTCCCCTTAAGATACCCTCCCAGATGCTGCACCAGGCTGAAAGGCTGATCCCAAAACTGGGCCCTGTGGAGAGCAACACAGTACCCGTGTTGAAATGATGAAAAATCCTCATGCCTATTTACCAAAATGTGCACCCACTGTTTCATATGCTCCAGGGCAGATGCTTAAGTAGGAGCAAGAAGATATAAAACTTTCTCTGTTGGTCAGGTCAAAGGTCCACCTCACTCAAAATACTATATCCAAGCCACAGGTACCTAATAAAAAGCATTGGGTGGACAGGACACAGCTAGTTATCTTTCCCTTAATACACCCTCCCTGCGTTCAGCTGTCAGCATCATACAAGTTTACTGGTCTGGGTCATGTTTTCTGACTTTTGAGATTAGCCCAGTTGGTTAGAGCATGGTGCTAATAACATCAGGGTTGTAGGTTTGAGCCCTGTAGGGGCCATTCACTTAAGAGTTGGACTCAACAATCCTCGTGGGTCCCTTCCAACTCAGAATATTCTGTGAAATCTATTTAATAGCCTCCGGTAGATCCCTGAGAAAAGATTTTCATATGGCGTCAATGGGAAACCACCATCTGCAAGGGGGATGGGGTTGGGCCCACCATCTGTGAGCCCTGAAATGCTCTGTTGCTCCACTGACCTGAGCAATGTTCCACAATGACAATCAGGGACCCACACATTAAATATGCAGGGTGCTGCTGCTGCCATCATTAGTGGCTTTTGGAGAGTAGCGGGTGCTCAGAAAGCTTTGATGTGTCCTTCTGGCCTTATTTATGGGTTTGAAACTCACAGTTCATTGTACTGCAGCCTCCCTGTTTTCAATTTATAATTATTATTTTGGTTCATTATTGACTCTTTTTAAAGTGCAAATTATGGACACCAGGATTTTTTTTTCTTTTTCATGAAAGAAGAGAAAATATGTATGAACTAGATTTTAGGGTATATTTAAAATAGGAGCATATTTCAGATGACGAGTAAATTTCAGAGCAATTAGAGTATTTTATATGAACTTTCTAGGCCTAGAACCCTGAGGGGAATAGGAAAGCCAATTAAATTAGATTAAATAATCATGCCTAAATATGAAAGTGTAACAGAATCCAATTGTTAAAGAACAACACTATTAAATTATGATAGAATAGTTTAGATGTTGTCAGTGCAACAGGTAACTATTCTATTATTGAAGAACACTGTGGATATTTTTTTGAATTTACCCTGCTTTGTCCTTTAAACTAAACTGGTGTAAATTTTAGAAGCTGTCAATTAAATCCCAGCAGTTCTCTTCTGCTGATGCACTGGCCTAGCTTTTCAAGCATTTTCAGTTTGTTTTGTAAGATGAACAGGGCTATTGGGCAAACGGCCCTTCACAGCATCTAGAAATGTTAGCTCATTGACAACTGGTTTAGTGCTATCTAATGTGGGCATAAGATTTGAAGCAGAAGCTCATGAAGCCCCTTTTGTACAGATTAGTCCTAGTCAAGTGATTCTCTCATGTTCTATGCTTCTCCTACCTCTTCACAGGACCAAATCGTCTCTTTTGGGAGCAGTTATTTTCCATGTCCAACATGTCTCATTACCTCTTTATGCATTTTCTTCTTCCCTTGAATACAACAAAGGGGATGGGTTAGCAAATGCACAACCCAACAGTGCAGAAAAGTAACAGTGGCAGCCTATAAAATCTATTTTTCGCCTTCTAGTATGTCAGTGGAAGCAAAGGTCCTGAGGATGTGGGCCTTTTTTCTTAAGAAAACTGGAGGTTGGTTTCCAGGGTCTACTTGCTTATTGGCAATGCAAAACTGGAAACTTTCTTTTCACCAGATATGATTAGGAAGATTATCATCTCTGATGGCATTTTGCTAATATACTGCATTTTGCACCAGCCAGCAAGTTGTCACTGTATTCTGGTTTTTGCACCAGAAGAATGCTTTGTTCACAGTTTAAGACCAATTCTTGCTGTGTTGACCATCCTTGCTTTCTTTTCCAAATGGTTCTCTCCTTTTTTCTAATTTCTCTGGAAGCCCCCATCTATGTGCATGACCATTTGTTTGGTCACATGGAAAGTTCCAACACAGTAAGAGTGAGAGTTCCAAAATGCATAAGGCTCGATAAGCCTGACTGGATCTCCTTTACTTTCCTCTGCCTTCTGTGCCACTTCCAGGTTCCTGGTAGATTCCAGGAATCTACTAGACCTCAGGAGGACTCCACTGCTCCATTAACTTCTCTTCATGGATCCTTCCAGGGCTTTTCTCCACCATAAGTTTCTCATTTAAAAAATGAGAGATGTTTTCACTAATATTCACTTGCTGTCGTACCAACCTAGACTGGCAAATTTTAAGAGGCATGGGAAGGAACGCAAGCCTGTGTGCAAGCACATACTGGGTACTGCAGAGAGGGAAAAAAATGATAGCTGGAGGATATGCTGTTCCTGTTAAGCTACAGCCACAATACTGTTTCTGTGAACAGCATGTATTTTAGAAATGTCTCAATGAAATCAGAATCCAGCCTCTGGTGCTGCTTGGGTACAACCAGCAGGATTAAGTCTGCAAATGCAGAAAGGAAAGAAGAAACCTTGGAAAAGTACTAGCAACTGCTGGAAAGAAGAGAAAGAAGAGGTCCTATGGTCCACTGCCTCCCTAGAGCTAATTTTTTTCTTAAAATTCCCATCCCCTTGTTAACTATGTGGCAAGTGTCATAATCTGATTATATTAATTTCTATCAACATAACCTTCCACAACATAGCCCTGTGCAAATTATGTTATGAGAAACTGTAGTTCATTTCCATTTCAGTGGAGCTTGTTAAACAAGCAAAATTATTTTGTAGCAAAGGGAAAAACAATTTAGTGGAATGCACTCCTAGCATAGGAAGTACATAATATCGTATTTGGGTTGAAACTTTTTCTGTCAGAAATGTCATAACCCTGTAAGAAAGAGAATTAAAATCCCGTTATTTTAATTTACATCTAGCCATGAGATAAGTAAAGTTATCATTGAAATTCTAATTAAATAGGATGATTGACTAAGGTAGGACATCAAAGAGGAGAAGTGAATATGATAAGTCAAAGTCTTATTAATTAGTCCGCGTGGAAGAAATTCCAGGGACGTCAAGCTGAGGCTGCTGCAAGGAGAAAAAAAGCAGACAAGAAAATGTGTGTTTCTTTGAAGTTAGGAACTGAGATAGTGATGGAGGTAATTGTGTCTGACTGGATCCAGTAATGAAGAGCCGTAAATCAGACCCAGGAATCGGAGGAAAGATTCTAGTAACGAATGTGGCTGCCCCCCTGCTGCGAAGAAACAGAATGCAGAGCTGACTAATTGACCCAGTCTATCTCCCAGTAGCTCTCTGTTATTATTTATTAATTTTTAATTTCTGAATTATTTACGTTCTGGGAAATTATTTTTGACAGCCTGTTAGGCGTGCCAAAGTTAATGGAGGATGAAAGGACTGGTACTAGAATTAGCAGGGATGTAGTCACAGGCTACTGAATTTAATGATTTTGGAAGGGAAAATTGATTTCACACAGCGTGTCACTTTATACTACTTTAGGGATACACCAGCTATTTGATTAATTGAGGAATAACCAACTCAAAGTATATTTGAAGTGTAAATGAATCACAGTGCTCAGCTGTTTATTTTTCCCCTTTTCTGATGAGAACACTGAGTTTGCTTAAAGTTGCTGATTAAAACCAATACAGGTAGGCCCTATACTCACACCTGCTTATTTTCTCCTGCCTTAAAAAAAAAAAAAAAATTAAAAAAAATCACCATCTGGATGAGACATGCAGTCCTCCATCTCATTTGGGATAGAGTTCATCCTTCCTACACAACGCCTAATTAAACAGGCTTTGTGTGCTTTCCCCCTTCCCCTGTGGAAAATGTTTGAGATGGAGCAGGGTACCAAGCCCGTGGGCAGCACATGCAGCTGAGACATGAATTCTGCATGGTGACAGCTCATGTTTGCTTTTCATCAGTCCCTGTAAGTGGGACATCAGATGCAGTAAGGGTCCCTAGCCTACAACACCTCCTGTGTTGGTTCTGTTGGTGCAGCAGTGATAAATTGGTCCATTCACCTACCATGCAGAGGAATGAAAAAATAAAGGGGCTCTGTACAGCTTTTCCAGGCTGTGAAAACTGTATTTTCTCCTTGGTGCCAAATGAAGCTAAATCCTGCCTGCTGCTCACGTCTAAGCCTTCTGACTATCCAGGGCATGGAGGCAATCCTTTTCCAGCAATGTGTGTAATGCTGTAGGCATCTCACATCTCCAGAAAGACTCATGCTAGAAACATCTCTGGAGCTGCTTGGGATCATCACCTCACTGCTCCTTCCCCCAACAGCAGCCACCCAAGATGAGGGGTATGGCTGCATTTCTTCTGGTTTACAGGCAGGATGTGCCCTGTGCCCAGGATCAAAGGGG